TTTAAGCCCAACCAATTCAATTACCTGTCAAATCTGGACATGACGGCCTTTCAGGCCTTTTTTATTGTCATTATAGTATTACGGGGAACCCCGTAGCAGCCACATCCGCATGCTCAAGCCTCCAACGAGGGAACATGCGGGAGCTGCACCCACCAGCAGGTGCGATACCTGCTACAGCAGGTGGGCGATACCGGTCAGGGGTCAGACGGTAGCATCAGGACCGAGCTTCTTTGATGGGCCAGTCACTGTGCCTCCCCTCCGGTCCCCTCCCCCTATGAACATCCGCAGTCTCTGCTCAATGCCACTCGGGGGGACCAACGGCATATCTCGAGGTGGCGGGCGCCAAGCTTGCCCAGGAAGGTGCATGAGGCCAATGGGGATTGAACCCAAGACCTCCTGAATGCCACTTGCGTGCCTTACCAAGTAACTGGTAAACTGGAAAAAAAAAGAGAAAAAAAAAGGGATGATGGCGTTTTTCTATACACCAAAGATGAAAGCTCCCCCCAAAAATGTGAACTGAACAGAACACCGTCTTTTTTTTCTTTCTTCTTTTTTTTTCTGGGAAATTCAATGGAGCTCGTCTCGCCGTCAAAGTGAATAAGGCAATCTCAACCAAACGTGCAAAACAGGGAAGGCTTGAGCAAGACGAAAGGGATGGGGGGAGGGGAGGGGAGGGAGGGATGAGACTGATAGAGAGGGGTTCAATTCCCATTAAAAATGATGGCTTGGAAGCTCACGGACACTCCAACCCCCTTCCCTTACCCCTTAACCTGCTGATTAAGCTCCAGTTGAAGCTCTTCAGATAAGAATTGAATTGAGTCACCAACCTTTTTTTTTTTCTTTTTTTTTTCAAAATTGGACTTTCAGGGCCCAGTGCCCAAGGCAAATTACAACATCAGAGTAGCCAATAACAGGGACAGCCGGGTTGTCCTGCCCCACCAGAATGAAAAGGGAAAAAAAAAAAAAAAAAAAAAAAAAACCCCCAAAAAAAAAAAAAAACCAACCTTTTTTTTTTTTTTTTTTTTTTTTTGACTGAGAAGATTATATTATTTACAATTTAGCGTCTGGGGCGAGGTCCCACTAGCAGCGGGATAGGATAGAAACGAGTTTGTGGGGCAGTTGAGTGACCCCAATCCTGCCGTGCAGTAGTCGTGATCCCACGGTCAGTGTTTTACTTGTATTACCCGAAAAAATTAGGAGATCTTCGTTCCCCTCCTCCTCTCCTTAACACTGGGCA